CCACCCCCACCCACTCCAGGGCCGACATCCGGCCGCAGGGTCCGTTTCCCCCCACTCAACCCCACTCACTCCAGGGCCGGCGACTGGAGGTGCAAGCCTCCGGCTGCCGGGTCCGTTTCCACCCCCCCCACTCCAGGACCGGAGACAGGAGGCAGAAGCCTCCGGTCGCCCACTCCCTTCCCCTCCCCCACCACCCACTCCCAACAGGCACTGAGGGGAATGTAGGGTTGCCAGCTCTAAGGAGGGAAATACCTGGAGGTTTGGGGGGTGGATTCTGTAGAGGGCAGCATTGGGCGGGGGGGGGGCGGAAGGACTCAGCAGGTATAATGTCATAGGGTCTACCCTCCTAAAGCAGTCATTTTCTCTAGGGGAACTGATCTCTGTCATCTGGAGATCAATTGTAGCAGTGGGAGATCTCCAGGTCCCACCTGGAGATTGGCAACCCTAGGGGAAAGTCAGCTGCACAGCAGGGGGTTGAAGAGAATGGTTTGATGGCTGCTGGGCCAAGATTGGCAACAATAGTTCCCCAGGAGCCCCATCGTAAATGCACCAAACAATTCCTCAAGATTTTCCAAAACACTTCTCTGTTTTGGGCTCCTGGGGAACTTTGAAGTAGCACCAAAGCTTTAAGATCTCTCCAGCTGTCACCTGGAGACTGGCAACAGCTTGTCTGGAGTGTGGGCAGCATGGCATTGTATCTGTCTGAGGTCCCCCTCTTCCTCCTCCTCCTCAGATCCCACCCTCAGCAGGCTTCATCCCTAAAATATCCTGGAAGTTTCCAACCTGGAGTTGGCAACCCTATGTCCTGGAGTTCGAACCTGGAGTTGGCAACCATCAGCCAACGTTTATCTGCCTGTCTGTCTTTACAACCCCCCCCCCACACACACACACACAGCCTCTGCCTAGGGAGCAGCTGACATCATTCTCCTCTCCCAACTGAAAATTCCAACTGCCTTGGGGAGGGGGTGAGTTTGAGGTGTGGAATGGAGTGTAGTCCAATCAGCTTCCATATGTAAATGACCTTGGAACGCTGGCCGGGACTGCACAAAGCAGCCAATGAACCCAGCCAGTGTCTTCCGAGTGGCAGTTTTTTCGGCCTAACACTAAAGGGGCCAATTTTAGAATTCTGGCACCCACTACTCTTTTATAATAAGGGAGAGATAACAATCTGTCTTTCGGGTTCTCTGAATTCATAGCTTTCATTAAAAAGAAACAAAACAAGTCTGGAGCAATGCTTCCTCTAAGCTGTGGAGTCTTGTGAGCAAAAATTCTACTTTGTGAGCTACTGGCATTAAAGTTGTGAACAAGCAATTCTCCATAAATTAGTTTGCTTTGGAGCCATTCTTCCTGAGCTAAGACAAAAATGTGTGAGCCAGAGGCTAAAAAACTGTGAGCTAGCTCACACTAACTCCTGGTCTGGAGCTCTTTCTGTTGCTATTATGATTACCCGTCATTTCATAACAGTACAGATGAAGTGACTGTAGGAGGCCCCCCAACACAATAATTCAAAACCCCTTTTCTGCCATCTTTTAAGACCTGAATTACAATGAGACCACTGGGTCAATGGGCTTGGAAGAGTGTAACTCTGTTTACGAATACACTGAAAGAAACAGAAAATGGAATATTATTCTGTATTCTGGGTAGCATGTTCATTTTAATTGTAGAAATTCTACCTCTTTTAATTCATTTCAATTTAGTCCATGTCATGAACCGTCTAATGAATTCTTCATATTGGGGTGGAAGAGCCACTTGCATTGAAGGAAGCCTCCTTGGAGGATGGTTGGAGCCACTCCATTATCTTTCATGATCAAGTTCAGCTCTTTTACGCACATTGTCCAGCATCCAGATGCCCACATTTAAATCTGGATGCTTTCCGTGCAGTATTACATCCTGATATGCCAGATTTTATAGGTGTAGTCATGCTGAATCTCAGCCATTAAGATTTTATATCCTGATGCTACACAGAATTTTCAAAGACTGTTAATTTACATACATGTGTTTTCCACACCAGGACAGATTTGTGTGGTTTCCCTGTTGCTGCTGCAACTGGAGCCAAGTATGTGCGGAAAGCAGTCATATTTTTAAACATTCCAATGAACAAAAATGTCCTCCATGTAGTAAAGTAACATCATCAGGGGGAAAAGCTTGGCATAGAGCTTTTTAGATGGGGAGACATTAAAAAAAGACCTATAGTTGGAAACAGAATAGTCCAGAATTCTGCCATCCCATTCTGCACAGTTACGTAGATCACCTCTTGATTATTCAACAATTGGTCTGTCCTTCAAAGCAATTGCTGTTTCAGATATCATGATCACAGTGTTGCTTGCTTGAATATTTTTTTAAAGGGGCATAAATCTGTAACTTTTGCTGATGCTCTTGTTTTATGCCTTGCTTTGCAGGTGATGCTAATGAAGAAGAGAGAAATCTTAGCAAAACAGTTATGAAATACTGGGCTAATTTTGCTCGCACTGGGTAAGAACACTGTTATGGTGGCAAAACAAGGCAATGCCAAGTGAAAACAAAACAACAAAAAACCTCCACAGCAATAATGGGCACAGAAATTTTTGGCTGCAATGGCACATGCAGTACCCCCAGCCATCTGCACCAGGCAGACTGAAGCTTCTGGACTGGGCCAGCCTTCTGCCCTTGCCTTGTCAACCTTCTGTTTGCAGCACTTCAGGGTTCAGCCCAAGCCAGAGGAGTGGAAGCCCTGCCTTTCTTTTTGGGAGGCTCCAGTAGCATTGGGGGAGCAGAGCAGGAGGGGCCTTGGCTCAATGGCAGAGCAACTGCTTGGCATGCAGAAGGTCCCTGGTTCAATCCCCAGCATCTCCATTTAAAGGGATCAGCTAGGAAGTGATGTGAAGAACCTTTATATGAGACCCTGGAGAGCCACTGCCAGTCTGAGTAGACAATACTGACCCTGATGGACCACGGATCTGATTCTGTAGAAGGCAGCTTCATGTGTTAGGTCTGAGAACTGTCTTCCTCAGCAGAGCTCATAAATGCTTCAGACACTGGCAATCACACAGCAAATGTTAGCTCCCGGCTAGGAATCCAAGTATGGTGAAAACAGATACCCCAGTTGTAAGGCAGTGGGACCAGTCTCGAACCAGGCTTGTTCTCTTCAGCTCACTTCTGAAACCAACAGTTCAGCATGTTTGATTGCATTGCCTGGTACATCTGCTCTGCAAACTGTGAAGCTGAGCGGAAGCTGGGCTCACACCACCCACAAAGAATCCACTGTTGTTTCTCTTTTATTTTATGGCAGTTGTGCAGAATGGGCCTGTTCTGGCCTGCAGGCCCTATTCCGCCCTGCCTTCCTAGGTTTGTCTCACACCCAGATAGGCTTTTCTTTCTCGCTTGAGTAGCTGTTGCCGACACCACCTGACCTTTGTAAGGAATTACCCACTAGGAGGGTCAGGACTCCCAGCTTCCCTTCCCAGATCCAAGGCCTTGCCTCTGCGTCTCCCACTGCCCAGCATCTGGTCACCACGGGGACAGTTTACTACCTTGGGCCCCCTTGGAAGAATAGCACCTTGCCAATGGTCTGCCTTCCCCCGACACTCCTTTTCAAATAGCATGTCCGAGATGGTACAGAGAACTGCTCCAAGCATCAAAACTTTAAAGTATGTATTTTAAAAATGTTTACAAGCATCCTTTTGACACATCACCAAACTGAGCAAGGGAATCCAAAAGAAATAGGTAAAACGCAGATCCTCTGTTCTTCTCTCTATACATGCCCTATCAAATGGCAAAATATAGGACAGGTTCTTTAGCTTAGATGTTCTATATCTCTACAGTGTGACCAATACCTTGAGGCTTGCTCCAACTCTCCCAGGTGAGTACATGGTCAATGGTCACCTGCTTGCAGACCTTGGCTAAGAGTTCTCATGGACACAGCATCCCAAAGAAAGAGAGCTCCTTCCTGTTGCAAGGAGTTTTTATCATATCTGTTTCTTCTCCCACTGACCTGGTCAGCCCAGGTCAAAGAAACTTTTCCTGAAAAGTCCAGACATTTCCTTCTTGGAGTTTGTTCTACTGTAAAGTCCTCTAAGTCTCTTTTCCCTGCTAGGAGGGGAGAGAAGGGGGAAGCTTGAGCATTCTATTGTTCCTCCTGCTAGATCTATTAGCATTTGTAAGAAGGTGGGCTGAGGTACAATCAAACTGACCTCCCCCTTCCTGTCTGTTCTCTGCCCAGAGGGGAAAAAAACTGTTAAAACGCAAAGTGGAGGTTTTGCTGCTTGCCAACCCCCCCCCCCCCGGAGAAAAAAAAGGAATTTCTTCACATTAGTTGTTACCTCTTTTTACTCAGAGCACAGCTATAATCGTCAGGACAGATGCAGGAGCAAACTAATTATCCATGCTTCATGCTCTTAGGAACCCCAACGGTGAAGGTCTGCCAACCTGGCCCAAGTATGATCAGAAGGAGCAATATTTGGAAATCAACTTAAAGCAAAAGGCTGCAAAGAAGCTAAAAGAGAAGCAAGTTGTCTTCTGGACCAAGATTGTGCCGGAAAAAATTGCTGAAAGCAGAAGAGAGCGCACTGAGTTATAAGCCCTCAGTGGCACCAAGAAGCCATTTTGCTATTGAGAAGTGAAAAGGAATCACTTGGTTTCAGTAGCTTGTTTGTCGTTTCAGAAAACTGTTATCTTGGGTTGGGATGTTGGTCAATCAACTGGTTAAATTCTGTCGACTGTTCACCTGCTGTCTTAATTACCAGAGGCATCCATTGTCAAACCAAGATCTCTCCTGCCCTGTCTACCAAATACAATATTGCAGAGCAGGACGGGAAAGTTTTCAATAAACTATATTTTCTTCACTTCTTAGTTTTTCAAGGAACCTCCAGGTCTCAATTAGTGCCAGGTTAGTGCTGATTTTTTATATTGTCAAAGAAGAAGAGATTGGATTTATACCCCGCCCTTCTCTACCCGAAGGAGTTTCAAAGTGGCTTACAATCTCCTTCCCTTCCTCTCCCCACAACAGACACCCTGTGAGGTAGGTGGGGCTGAGAGAGCTCTCTCGAGAACTGATCTTGAGAGAACAGCTTTGAAAGAATTTATGACTCACCCAAGGTCACACCAGCAGCTGCATGTGGAGGAGAGGGGAATCAAACCGGGTTCTCCCAGATTACAGTCCATGCTTCTAACCACTACACCAAACTGGCTTTCTGCCAAAGAATCTCCGCTGCTTCTCTTTCCTAGCTCACCTTTCTGCAATCTGAAATCCTTCTGTTCTTAAACTGAGTTTCTGAAGCCTGAAGGCAGTGGCTCTTTTATAGCTATGTTGCCTGGTTTATAGGTTAGGTTTGATTTAAGATAATAGTTTAGGTCTTATGCCTTGCTTCTATGTGGATCCCTCTTCATCTGCTGAGAAATGGATTCTCCACTACAGAACATTTTTTTTGGTTGTAATTTTTGTATTTTTTTATATGTGCTTATGTGTGTGTGCACCTGGAAGTCATGGCTACCTCTGGTGACTGACCCCTACTGGGGGCCGGGAGGATATTCAGAGAGGTGGCTGAATAAAGCCTGCCCCCGCCTCTGGTATTTCAAGGAGGTCTACGAACCAAAAAGGGCTAAGCTAAACCATATATATAAAAGTACAAATATTTATTAAGGTGTACACATGTTAAAACTTTCCTGATTAAAAATTACTTTGTCTAAGATCAGACTATAAAAGCTTATCCTCTATACATACATATGATGGGTAAATACTTTACAACTGAAGACCAAACGCGTTTCGGCCCCTAAGGGCCTTCCTCAGTGGTCACTATTATTTATCTATTCTAGACACACATTCAAAGACCTGTTACAGAGTTTTAGTACACATATAATTTAACCAGATGTTGTATCCTTGTATACCTATAATTGGACTCCTGGTATTAGTGATGGGCCAGAGGTATAGCCATATCACCTCCACAACTTATTCTGGTAACAGCGATTTTGTAGGTCTGAATGGGTGTCACTCCATCAAGGTGAAATTTCACCTTCAGACCTAACCTGCCAAACAAAGAAAGGCTATTTGGAACAACTGGACACTTGGTGTGTGTGGGGGAGGAGGGGGCGGAAGAGTTAAAAGGTAACACAAAGCCCCACAGGGCATCTCTCTTGCCCATCTTGCTGCAAGCGAGAACATTGTGCCCCTTTGTCATTGTCTTCTGCAGAGCTATTCTGACGTCTGCTTTGACTCTGGAGAAATACGAGGTATTAACATTTTAAGAAATACAGCAAAAATTTGCCGTGGCTCCCTGGTAGAGCGTCTGCTTTGCTTGCAGAGGTCCCAGGTTCAGTCCCCACCCACTTCAGCTAGAGGGTCCCTGGGTGCAGGTGGTGTGAAAGACCTCTGCTGAGACCCTGAATAGTGGGGAAACTCTCCGTGGGGAAGCCCCTGTGCCACTGCTCTGCATTGGTGGTAACACCAACATGGAGCCTTTGAAAGGAAAGCATCACCATGTGCAACACCCTATTGTGATTTCAAAATTATATTTACTACTAGGTTGAGCAGACAGAAGAAATCTACCAGTAAGCAGAGAACACCATCTCTGCTCTTGGGTGGTTCTTCCATTCTGAAGGGAACTTCAGGTGACAGACAGATCATATGATCATATCGTAATAATACTAACAGAGTAAAAGTTGTCACATAGCTTCTATGAAACTTACATTTTTGGAAGACACTTTGAGGGCTTTGTGAACCAACAGTGCAGGGTAAAGGTTTTAGAAAGAAATTAATGGAGTACCCATGCTATGTACAGAAAGCACTCCCAGTTATTTATTTCTGAATTTTTAAAGTTAAAAGAGGGACCAGACGTCATGCAGCAGGGCCTGGGGAGGCCCACTCTACTTAACCTTGGCCTCCAACCACACGGATCTGAGGATCCCAGAAACATGAGTGTGTCAAAATGTCTCTGTTCTTGGATCAAAAGAGTGTAACAATGCAGCCCTAAGCACAGCTACACCCATGTAAGCCCATCAAAGTCTGTGTGCTTGGAAGGGAGTTAAGATGGCATTGGATGGCTCTATAAATGCCCTTGGATGGCTCTATAAATGCCCTACATCTCCACCAATACCCATCCCCGTTTACTAATGACAGGGAAATTTTTAAGGGTTCCAAGGAGGGGTTAAATAGAGACAGAGGGCTTCAACAGAAAAGAATGTATTAAGTAGTTTGAATTACAGAGGGATTCTTATTACCCAGGACGCTGAAAGTAAATCTCGAAGGAACAAAATGGCTGCTGCAGGAGGAGGAGCCAAGTCACAAAACGGCTGCCACAGCTTACCTTCAGTCAGACTGTGACGATCCTCAGGCCAAAGCAACATTTAAACAATTGGCACAGCCACTCTCCAATGGCCAGTTAGAAACCTTGCTGGCTAAAGCCCCACCTGACCCTGCCCACTTCCTAAAATATTTGGAGGGTTCCAGAAAAGCGAATTGAGGTAATTTATTTATGTAGCTTTTGTATCAGTTACACTTTCATTATCATATACTACGTTTACCAATTACATTTCTTTAACACAAATTTCAAACACAAAATGGTTCTTTAACACAAATTTCAAACACAAAATGGTTACATAGGCACCCTAACCCTAAAGATAACAGGCATTTACTCAATGGTAGGCAACTAGTTATGGTTTATGTCTTCATGTTCTAACTTCTTCTCTTATCTCTCTGCTAGGCTCAGAACAGACATTACCAGGGACTTGTGTATCTTACGGTGTACAGTACTAAATCGACTAGAAAGCAGGGACGTACATTCTTAATGTAACATCTCCTTATGAGTGCTGCTGACAGATCAAGGGGAGCTGATCTCCTGGTGCACACCCTCCCGACTATGGTGCCCTCAGTTTAGGTGACTTGCCCAAAGAATTAGAAGAGCTCCAGGCAGATTCTATCTAAATTGGCTGAGTGGGCAACAGCGCTGCAAATGAAGTTCAATGTACGCAAGAGTAAGGTGACGCATATTGGAACAAAAAATCCTTTCTTCAAATATATAGCAATGGGTGCTTAACTACCTGAGACCAAGACTGAAAGACATTGGATTGCCAATTTGGTGTAGTGGTTAGGAGCGTGGAGTTTAATCTGGGAGAACCAGGTTTGATTCCCCACTCCTCCACCTGAAGCTCCTGGCATGACCTTGGGTCAGTCACAGTTCTCTCAGAGCTGTTCTGAAAAGAGCAGTTCTGAAAAGAGCTCTCTCAGCCACACCTACCTCACAGGGTGTCTGTTGTGGGGGGAGGAAGGGAAGGAGATTGTAAACTGCTCTGAGATTCCTTCGTGAAGTGAAGGGCGGGGTCTAAATCCAGTCTCCTCCTCTTCTTACAGTGGATAGTTCCATGAGAATGTTGAATCCGCATGTGGCAGCAGTGAAAAATTCAAAATCCATGCTGGGGATTATTAGGAAAGGGATTGAGAATAAAACAGCCAGTATTTTAAAGCCCTTGCACAGAACAATGGTGTGCCTGGATTTGGAAGACCATTTGCAGTTCTGGTCACCATATCTCAAAAAGAATATGGCAGCGCTAGAAAAAAGAACAGAAGAGGGGAACTATGCAGATGCTGTAGTTTTTAGCTTAGAAACTATTTAGTGTAGAAAAAAGTTAGTTTAGCAAAAAATAGTTTAGAAGAGAGATCATGGGGGGACAACATGATAGAGGTTTCTAAAATTATGCATGGGATGGAGAAAGTGGATAAAGCTAGGGTTGTCAACCCCAGGTGAGGCCTAGAGCTCTGGAATTGCAACTGATCTCCAGACAACAGCGACTAGTTCCCCTGGAGAAAATGGCTGCTTTGGAGGTTGAATTCTATGGCATTATACTCTGTTGCTGAACTCCTGTTCCTCCCCAAATCCTGCTCTGCCCAGGCTCCGCCCCCAAATCTCAAGGAATTTCCCAACCTACAGTTGGTAACCCAAGAGGGAGCCTTTTCTCCCTTTACCATAATACTGGAACTCAGGGCCCCCCAATGAAGTCAATGGGCAACAGACAGGACAGACAAAAGGAAGTACCGAGAATTAAACTTTATTGGTCTTGAAGGTGCTACTGGACTCAGACTTTGAACGATGATGATGATGATGGATGACTCTCTCCTTATCATTATTAGTGAACACTCTTTAAGTACCTAGTTATTATTAATCAATAACCATAATATTTTAATATTAAGCATTGATATATAACAACAGTAATACTAATACGGCTTGGGTAATATAAGTTGTAACTGAATTCTAAAGTGATATGCTGTTATGTTTTGTTTATGGTGGAAAATGAAAATAAATCTCAAAAACAAAAAGGAATACTAAGACTGCTAATAATAATAATACCACCATCATCTGTTGAGGGAATAATGGTGATGTATTTGCAGAGAGCTCCCTGGCCTCTCCGTGGCGCGCTTCCCACACTTCTCCCTTCCTTCCCCAGCCACACCAGCGAGCGCGGCTCCCCGACCGCCGGCACTTGTCCCTCCTCCCCTGCGTTACCCACGTGGGTTGTGTGACGACAGAGAGGGGCCTCCTACCTCCGGGGTTCCCGTTCCCGCACGTGTGCTGCCGCGCCCGATGTCCGCCTCTCCGCCGCCGGCTCCTCGGCCGCCCCCGGTGCTCCTCGGCTTGTGCGATGCCGCCGTCCGTGTCCCCCCCGCGAGCTCCGGCCAGAGCCGCCTTCAGTTCCAGGGAGTTGCGAGCAAGCTGGGCGGAGTTCCGGTGAGGAGGCGGGCGGGGAGTTCCCTTCAGGTCTTGTAGTGCCCCGATGGACAGCTTATGTCGAAAAGAAGCAAAAATGCACCCCGGTCCTCCCCATCTGCAGCCCCTCTGTAACCTTGGGCCATCTACCGAGGTCGCTTGCCTCGTAGCCGCCTTGCTGACTGGTCGTACATAGGCTCCTCTCCCACGTTCTTTGTGGGATCTGACCCGTGGGGTTCCGCAGGGCTCATGCTGTTCCATCTTCTGTAAGACCCTTAGGAGAAATAATTCATAGTTTCAGAATTGGATGCCATCAGAATGCTGGTGACACTTAGCTGTATATTTCTTTATCCAAATCTCTTGGTGATGATGCCCTAGAGGTATTAAGCCATGGGCCTGAGTGCTGTGGTGTAATGCCTAAGAGTGACAGGTTGCTCTCCATTAGGCTGTGATCCTTGGCGTGCCAATGCGTGGCACTCGGCCTTGAGCCAGAGCTCTCTGCATTGATGCACTGAAATTTATGTGTCCATTTAAGTGCAGCTAAAGCAGAGAGCTCTGATTTACAAAAACTGATATGGGTATACATTTTGGTGCTCCTTACGCTACTGCGTAAGCTTACTCACGGAGCTGCGGTGGCTCAAGTGGTTAAGACGCTGAACTGCAGGCTGTGGAAGGTCGGTAGTTCAGCAGTTCGAGACCCGAGTGTGCTGCATAACGGAGTGAGCTCCCGTCTCTAGTTCCAGCTCCTGCCAACCTAGCAGTTCGAAAGCAAGAAATTGCAAGTAGATAAATAGGTACCACTTCGGTGGGAAGGTAACAGCGTTCCGTGCACCTTGGTGTTTAGTCATGCCGGCCACATGACCACAGAAACGTCTTCGGACAGCGCTGGCTCTTCGGCTTTGAAACGGAGATGAGCACCCCAACCCTAGAGTCGGACTCGACTGGCTTTCGAGCAAGGGAACCTTTACCTTTACCTTACGCTACTGTAGTAAAAACCCACTCTGTGCCTTGGTCCGCTTTGAGCTGGCCAGGCTTTTGTTCATTTTAGCTGAACTATTCTCTGTGGAAAGCAAGAGTTCATCTTTAAATGAGGCCACTTTGTTTCCTTCGATTCCAGGATCATGTCCCTTCTGTAACTCCGGCTCATCCTTTGTGTGGGATTTGCAGGGCTGGCTTGATGCACGTTGTGCAGCTGTATTGCCCTCTTGAAGGCTCCCCGTTCCATCGTGTCCTTAACGTGTTTGCCTGTGCAGGGAAAAGCTGCTGGGGGAAATCAGAAAGGTGAGCTGTTTTGCAACCTTGCCGGTTTGATCTGTTTTGTGCCTTGCATGGATGCTGGTACCAGAGTCCAGAGGTGATGGTGACAAGCATTTATGTAATAGTTTAGATGTTCAGGGATCTTCATGTAAGTTATTTCAGTGCACCAAGCTGTGTCAAATTATTGGCTGCCATCTGACTGACAAGTTTTAAACTTGTTATAAATCGGGTTTTAATATGCAATGATTTAATTTATTTATTTTAATGTTGTCACTGGTACCTGTTGTTACCCACCCTGACCCCTGCAGTGCGGGGGGGGGGGAGGGCTGTAAGACAAATATAATAAATAAATAAGCAATCTGTATAACAGTGTTACAAGGTAGTTCAGTATTGTTATCCCCATATTGCAGATGTGGGGGCCAGCAGGGAGAGAAAGCTCTCTAAGGTGACCTACTGAATTCAAGGCAGACGTAAGAACCACACCTAGGATGCTGTTTTATAGCTCAGGCTCTTAGCTAACAAAAATGTTAAATGCTACGAAATTTGGGAAGAGATCATGGCTCTGGATGGCATGCAGAAGGTCCCAGGTTCAGTCCCCAGCATCTCCAGTTAAATAATCTGGTAGTAGGTGATGTGAAAGACCTTTGCCTGAGACCACAGAGAGCCACTGCTGGCTTGAGTAGACAATACTGACTTCGATGGACCAACAGTCTGATTCAGGATAAGGCAACTTCATGTGTGTTTCAGTTCTCTTCCCAAACATTGCTGATGTTTTCTTTCATGCTGACCTTCTCCTACAGCTGGAAGGTATTACGGTCCCAATATTTGGAAGTGCAAGGAAAAGAAATGCAAGACTGCAAACCAAAGCAGGTATCCTATGCTAGTTGGTGCATTTTCTTTGGCTTACGTAACAAAGCAATCTTATACAGACATACTCCATCTTAAATCCACTTAAATAAATCGGCTTAGACTGGAGTAATTCTGTATAGGATTGCACTATGAGGGTCAGCTTTAACGTAAGGCTGGTACTGTATCTGCGGAGTGCCTTCTAGTAGGTATAAGGGGAAACATATTGTTGGAAGGTCTGCCGTATTGCTTGTTCAAGGCTGACCCCCGTGAACCTAGCCATGGATTCCTTTTAGAACTGGCTCACTGACTTATCAGTGACCACTGGTGGGGAAAAAGTTTATATATGAACATAACCAAGAAAACAGCTCTGTATGTCTTTTTTTTTTTTACATTGGAGCTGTACATTAGTGGTTAAGTTTGTGGACTCTAATCTGGGAGAACCAGGTTTGATTCCCCACTCCTCCACTCGCAGCTGATGACCTTTGGCAAGCCATAGTTCTGTCAGAGCTGTTCTTGAAAGAGCAGTTTCTGTCAGAGCTCTCTCAGCCCCGCCTACCTCACAGGGTGTCTGTTGTGGGGAGGGGAAAGGAAAGGCGATTGTAAGCCGCTCCGAGTCTCCTTTGGGTAGTGAAGGGCGCGGGGTATAAATCCAAGGGCGCGGGGTATAAATCCAATCTCCTCCTCTTCTTCTCTACAATATAATTTATGTCATTTATAGGCAGAATGTATTTACAGTACTAAAATTTTTGGACTTATATCTCTGAGAGTGTGACATGGAATCTAATGGGACGTTTAAGGTGCTGATGGTCAAGATGTCAAAACCCAGTCATGCAATCAAAACAATACTTTTAAGAATTGCCAGGAAGTATTCTTAATCAAGTAGCAACCTTTAGATCATAAATCAGTTAGATTACTAGGTCTCAGAGTTTGAAGGGTGACTCACTTTGACATTTGCTGTACTCCACGCTTTTCTGCCCAGACATTAAATGCAAGAATCATACATCTAACACCAAACAACTTTATATTTTATTTTTCATGCTTAGCATTTATAGTGTGACTGAGCAGTGGGCTGCATTTTAGGGCCATGTTCTGTAGGGGCAGACACCGCTTTGCCCACAAACCTGTTGGAGCTTCCTTTGCCCGTTCAACCCCTTTTCTCCTCCTCCTCTCCTGGCCTTGCAGTCCACCTGTGAGAAAGTTGCAACCCAATTTTAGATCCTGACCCTCAGTGTGAGAACCACAGAGTTAGAGTAATCCACTAAGAATCTTTTTGATTGATTAGGCCACAGATTCTTTTGTTTAGAAAAACACACCACTAACAGTCTTTTCCATGACTTTGATCGCCTAGGCTAGCTCACTCTCGTCAGATCTTGGAAGCTAAGCAGGATTGGCCCTGGTTAATACTTGGATGGGAGATCTGGGTCCAGGCTTGCTGGGCAGAGGCAGCCAATGGCAAACCGCCTCTATTTGTCTCTGACCCTGAAAACCCTACAGGGTTGCCAAAAGTGTGCTGCAACTTGATGGCAAAAAACCCAAACAAGTTTCTAATATGGCTGCTTGCACAAACTGCAGAGACAGGTGTAGAGAAGAGGCATTCCACCTTAATGATTTGTGGCCTGCCCTTCCTCCAGGGAGCTCACAGTGACATACACGGTCTCACTCATCTCCATGTTTAACCTCATCACAAATGACTGGTCTGGGGTCACTGTCAGCTAGCTGCCATGCTTTCTTTGTTTACATTCATCCCCGACCCTTGTGCCCGCGCACATGCTTGCTTTGCTTTGCTGCCGTGGGTAACGTAAGGGAGGCTCGCTTTCATCCGTGAGAACTGGCTCAGCCAGACAGCGCTATCAGCGCAACCTTGACGAGAAGGGAGGGCTTGAGTTCCACTATCGGTGTGAATATTTCTGCTCTCAGGGGGTGGGGAGAGTCTCCCGTTCATGATGTATTGTCCCGCTGGGACAATTCCCGTGCGAGTGCTTGAAGTTCATTTGCTTAGCTAGTTGAAGCATCAGAGTATATGTAGCGAGTCCCTTACGCTAATCGTTATTTCTAACAATGTACCTGGAGCCGTGACAACAGACCAGTATGCCAATAAAGCATAACTTTTCCTGAAGAGTGTGTTTGGACCTTCTTGCTGTTGATCCTGACAGTCACTCAGCCAGTGTTACGACAGAGTGGAGACTTGAACCTGGGTCTCTCTGGTCTTAATTTGGCATTCTGACATCACGCTAGTCCTCCTTTCCTATATGTAGGAAGGTGTCTGTTCAAACACAGCATGTGCGTAACTTCAAATAAAGCATGCTTTTCCCCTTTCATACTGTGTTTATACATATGCAGATTTAAACATTTATTTCCATTCTGGTATTCTTCTTTGTTGCTTTCTCTGACCTCCTTTCTGTAAAGAGCAGGCGTGGCATAGTGGATGGAGTGTCTCACTAGGATCCTGGGAGACCTGGGTATGAGTCCCCGCTTCTGCCATGGAAGGTCACTGGATGACCTTGGGACCATCACAAACTCTGAGCGCAGCATACCCCACGGGATTGGGTTTTTTTTTTAATGAAAGTACAAACTGTATTGCTTCTGAAAAACAGAAAATAGATTAAGACAAAGGTGATGTTCACAGGAGACATATTAACCAAGTTGGTTAATTACTGTCATTCCACAAATCCCGTGGTTCTGTAAGGGGCTATGAAACCACACCTCATTTAATGTCTATTAGAGATTGACATTTCAAGCAAGGATGGGACTTAGGTCACACTTATGGAACTGGTGAAGATTTAGGCCACAGCAATTCTGCTCAAGAAATTATCAAGATAACCCCAATGTCAGCAAGGAATTATCTTCTACAGTTCCCCTAGTTCTTTGGTGGAAGTTAATGACAGTTCATTCGGTTCTAAACCGAGTTAATATTTGTAGTGTAGAAGTGCTAATGGCATAAGACTAGTGGCACACATATAGTCTAATGTTTTTTTTACAGGATGTTTGTACCAAACATGTTAAATGGAAACTCCGGGAATGGTAATTCTGTTACACTGATTGACACCAATGTTTAGGAGGGATATTTTTGTAACATTAGACATTATTTTTCCTACCATACAAAATATGGGAACATGTTTGGCACAGTCTATAAATCTAAAGAAACCTAAAAAGATATGAAAAGTCAAGGCTACAGCAATTCTTTGCCACCTCACAGGATTGTTGTTGTGAGAGAATGATGTTCTAATCTAAGCTGCTTTCAGGCCAAACTGAAGAGAAAAGTGGGATATAAATAAATGAAAGCGAAATAAAATAAACACAAAGATGTAGCTTGTGGCTTAGACTGCTCCTTTGTGTAATGCTATGAAATCCAAGTTTGGCTTCAGGTAGACAATGCACAAGAATTTAAATACTCCTTAATGCTTTGCAGAATCACAGTTTGACATCCCAAACCCATTCATATTTACTCAGAAGCAAGTCTCAAGATGTTCAGTGGGATTTCCTTCCAAGTACATGTTCACAGCATTACAGCTATATGTGCATTCTAACATACTAGCAGAACTGAACCGTGGCTAACTCGAGCCATAAGAAGTCATTTTCACTGCCCTTAAGCAGTCCACAAAATGAAAATTGCAGACAGGTGCTTGAAATTAAGACACTCACGGAGTAGCATAACACCTTTCTTGTCTTTACAGTCAGCCCTACAGTAACGTACTCAGATGAACAAAGTTAGAGTCCAGTGGCACCTTTAAGACCAACAAAGTTATTTTCAAAGTATAAGGTTTTGTGTGCAAGAACACTTTGTCAGACACAATGAAACGAAATCTTCCCAAGCCCCACTTACAGGAAAAAAGGGGGTGGGGGCGCATTGTTCCTTCTAAGCTCCACAGTGTTTTGAGCAGAAATTCTACGTCGTGAGCAAAAAAGGCTAGTAGCATTAAAGTTGTGAGCGAGTTAAAGTTGTGAGTGAGTTTACATTATTACGTAAATTAGGAAGATTACTTCCATAACCTTGTAAAAATGTCAGAATAAATTCTTTTAAATTATATTTAAACAATATTTTAAGAATAATTTAAACATTATACGAGAAAACAGAATCAAGTCAAATTTCACCCACCCCTTTTCACTATACTGGTAGACCTGTCCTCCGGAGAACAGGTCTAACCCCCCCCCCTTCCACTGTATTGGTAGATCTGTCCTCCGGAGGTCTACCTGGCCTCAGACCATCACCCTGTGCTGAGCCTTTGAAAACATACCTGCACTTAGGGGAGAAAAAACTCTTGCAGTCTGCTTTGTGTTTTTTAGTGAGATATGACAAACAGCATTATAGGTCAAATATAGCAGAGGAAATTCCTTTATGGCAGTAAAGCATGCAAAGAGCTCACAATTGAGCATCAGCAATTTTTAGATATGCCTATTAAAGTACAAGAAGGTGTTGAACAAATGAAATCAAGTACTGCTCCAGGATGTGATGGGTTCACTCCAGAATTTTATAAAACTTTTTGTAGAGACCTGATAGAACCCTTCACTAATCTCTGTAATGTTATCTTAAACAAAGGTTCAAAACCGTCATCTTGGGAAGAAGCGCATATAATTACAATTCCAAAAGAAAACAAAAACTGGAAATCCCTGGCATCATACAGACCAACAGCTCTATTAAACTGTGATGCCAAAATATTTTCTAAAATATTAGCAAATTACTTTCCGTTTTCTGCGCAACAAGAAGAGTTGGCTTCGGGACTTGCTCCTGTGATGCCACCAGATCACTGGATCCTGAAGAGGGGTTCAGGGACTCCCGAACTCCAGTGAGCTCTCCGGAGAGGAGCTTGTGGCAAGGGGCTTGACTCGGACTCCCTGCGGGTGACAGCAAGCGGGTGGAAGTCTGAGACTGCCTCCAGCAAAATCTCAGTGAGAGCGTCCATGGCAGTCATGGACGTGAACTCGTGACTCCTGAAGCAAGGAGGAAACAGAACATCTCAGCAAAAAAACCCCCCAAAACAAGAAGATAAATCACCATGAGTAACCTTAATTGCAATACGCTG